AGATAGATGGATGGCTCTATTGTGGCTAATAGGTTTGGGTCTGGGGTGAGGACAGGTGAAGGATGCTCTAGAGGCCCACATCAGCACCGCTCCACAGATGCCCGTCTGTCTCCATCACAACATCACAAACCAGCACAACCCAACACATCAGATCAGATCCAATCCTATCACTCTCACTCTAAGCGTCAGGTTTTCACATTTGCATATGTAAATCAGTAAGGTAAAGCTAATCACATATTCATGACTCGGACACCAGCGGCAGCGGGAGTGACAGATGAAGGTGTTTTACCTGCCCACTGTCTGGTTGGCCAGTTGTCGCATTCGGTTGAATTGCTTCTTCATCTTCCTGCAATTTGCGCGTGAATCCCGATGGAAGAAACACCAGCTGACATTCCTCACTTAAAGAACAACCCTCAGGAAATATTCCACGGCTCGGGCCATAACGAACGATTCCTCTTCGGCGTGCAACCATCACCTACAGCGAATGAAAACGCCAGAGCTCATCATTTGCGCGTTCTGCTCGTCGCTGGATGCTCCGCTGAGCGCCGGTGACGCGGCGGCGGGGCATTATGGGTAATGTAGTTCTGTGAGACTTGCTGGCCTACAATTTGACAGTCTGAAGGTCGCGGGAATGTCTTGTATTCAGTTTTATGAGATCAGACTAATGTTTTGAAGCTTTCCTAACATTCAAGTAAAAAAAAAATTCCAGTGAAAAATAAAATCGAACTGACATGCAGCTAATAAACTGAAATCACTGTTGTGACTTAACATACTAAAATGCATAATTTACAGAATATGGTTGTAAAAATAAATAAAATGTAATAATAAATAAAATGAAAACAAAAATACCACTACTGCTAATAAAAAATAATTATGCTAACAATGTTGCCATCGTGTGGATGTCGAGAAGAACTGCAGCGTTGACAGAGAAACAAAATTCTTTTACATTCTCTTGGAATGAACGAATGAATTAGTATATTTTAAATATATACATACATTTGGAATGAGTAACATTAAATGGTGATAATCATATCACATACCGTATAATTTCATATAATCATAATTAATAATACTAATAAAAATACTGACTCTTTTTGGCTTCACATTTATCCAAAACAAGGTCTAAAACCATTTATTTAATTATTTGTAGTCCCTCATCGCTTTCTGCTGTAGCGTCATTGGGGGCGTGTCCTCTGCGCAGAATCGGCAGTCCGCGCATGCGCGCTGTGGCGTGTCAGAGAGGCAAGATGGCGGCCCTCAGAGCGGGTCTCCTGACCCGAGCTCTTACTAAAGGAAAAACACCGGGAATCCCAAACATTATCCTCGGAACAAGAGCAGGTGCTGTCTCACACATCTGTTCTTTCGCAGTATGTGAATATACGCTATGAAAGCAGTGTCTTATAGGAGAAAATGAACGATAACCTTCATGTCAAGGCTGCGGAGCTAACTGGCTAAGCGAATCCGTGACAGCGTTTTACGTGTTTGTAAACAAATGTAATAAATCGTTAACTGCGCTGCTTTAGGATTAACTTGTGTTTTGTTTGAACACATTATGCATTAAATGCCGTTTTCTAAGTGTGTTTCTGCTAAATGTTCTGTAGTCCCGTATTGTATACTATATACTACAGGTTGTCTTAAATTTGTATTCAGATTACAGGTTTCATTCATTAATATAATTAACCTAGTTAACTAAAATACAAGCTTTAATGCTTAGAATGTGTCTGCTTGTGATGTGACTAAGGTAGTCTGTTTTCTTCTCTCTTGGTTTTGTGTGTAATGTGTTATTATGATAAAGTTTGTGTTGTTTTATAGCATCTGGTCCCTCTAAGGACATGTTGCCCGGTTCGTACCCCAGAACCCCTGAGGAGACGGCGGCAGCAGCCAAGAAATACAACATGACGCTGGAAGACTACAAACCTTATCCTGAGGATGGCATGGGGTGAGTATCTTTCTGAATGAATAACGTGTTTCGTTTGCAGAAAGACGAATGGCTGATGATGTGTTTAAATATGTTTGCTCTGTTGTGTCGCAGGTACGGTGATTACCCCATGCTTCCGGAGCGATCGCAGCAGGAGAGAGACCCCTGGTATCACTGGGACCATCCTGATCTCAGGAGGAACTGGGGAGAGCCGGTACGAAAGGATTAGTTCACTTCCAGAATAAAAATGTCCTGATCGTTTACTGATCAAGATGTTCACTTCTTTCTGTCTTCAGTCGCAAAGAAATTGAGGAAAACGTTCCAGGATTTGTGACCCTGTCTGTGAAATCCAGGCTAAAGTCTCAAAATCTAATTATAGGATAACAAGCATCAAAGTTTGATATCAACTATTAATTTCACTATGATTTAAATCTTTGACAATATTAAAGACATAAAGGTTATATTTTCACAGAATGTTCTACATCTTTATGAAGGATGATTCTATTCAAATATTGTGACAAAATAAATTTTGTAGGGTGCCACAAATTTGTTAAAATTTCCAAAGGGTGCCGCAACTAAAGAAAGGTTGGGAAACACTGCTCTAGATAAGACTCTTATTCCTCGGCTGGGATCGTGTGGAGCTCTTTGAAGCTGCACTGAAGCTGCACTTTGAACCTTCAACCCGTTGATCACCATTGAAGTCCATTATATGGAGAAAAATCCTGGAAGGTTTTCCTCAAAAACCTTCATTTCTTTGCGACTGAAGACAGAAGGACACGAACATCTTGGATGACATGGAGGCGAGTAAATCATCAGGAGATTTTTATTCTGGAAGTGAACTACAGTAATCCTTTAATGTTCATCCCATACGTTTTGCTTGATGCATGCTTGATGAGTGATGTCGCTGCACATGTGCATTGGGTATTGCCTTCCAGTTTTGACAGCATGCACATTTTTTCATGCTGCTCTTCAATTTCATTGAAGAAAGATCTATGGCATATAATGTTGATGCTGCCGGTTACCGTCAGAATGAGAGTCCAAACAGCTGATAAAAACATCACAATAATCCACAAGTAATCCACAGCACTCCAGTCCATCAGTGAACATCTGGAGAAGACAAAAGCTGAAACAAATCCAGCATTAAGACGTTTTTAACTAAAATACATTGAGTCCATAATCCATAATAACGCTTCCTCCAGTGAAAAAGTACATCTCCTGTTGTCTCTCACGTCAAAATCCAGCCACATATTTGTTTAGAGCTGTTTAAACGGTGCTTGATCTGTGCAGATTTCTCTCCTGATTCACACCAGAACATTTTCTCACTGGAGGAAGCCTTATTATGTTTCATGTCTGTGTTGTAGATGCACTGGGACTTTGACATGTACATCAGGAACAGGGTTGACACGTCTCCGAGCCCCGTGGAGTGGAGGACGATGCGAAACCAGCTGCTGGGGTTCGTGGGCTTCATGCTGCTGATGTTTGGTTTGGGCGAGATGTTCCCCTGCTACCAGCCTGTGGTGAGTAAAGGGAGAACAACAAGCTGTGTAGTAGAAAGAAGGGAAGTGTGTTAATCCTGCACCACGAGCAAGTTAGGAATTGCAAACTTTTTTAGCAGCTGAAACTGTTTGCAACTAATTGCATACTTCAGTCGTAAAGTTTTAGTATTTCTGTTGTTGTTTCCAGGCTCCTAAACAGTATCCTTACAGCGACCTGTATCTGGAGAGAGGCGGAGATCCTGAGAAAGAACCAGAACCGCTCAAACATTATGAGATCTAATGCTAGAATCCTCTCTGTTCCGTAACTTGTGCATATTTCTGTCTCTAATAAAGTTAATTTAAATGTCATGTGTTGGGTTTGTCTTTTCTTACCTGAGACCTTAAACTGTCATCAGCCTTTCGTTATGTGAAGCATAATAACATTATTTTCTAAATTAAGTTAGAAAATAATTGTTGTTTTATGTTAGACGAGTGTCTATTGTTCAGATGTATGCTAGTTATAGGCATTCATTTCTAGTGCTTTCAAACGATTAACACGGTTAATCGCATTCAAAATAAAAGTAAATAATTTTTGTATTTATTAATTTTTTGTTTGCATAATAAATGTGTGTACTGTGTGCATTAATTATATATATATTAATACACACACACTACCGTTCAAAAGTTTGGGGTCAGTAAATTTTTTTTCTTTTTTTTTTTTAAAAGAAATTAATGCTTTTATTCAGACAGGATGTGTTAAATTGATAAAAAGTGATAATAAAGACATTGTTATAAATAAATGCATATTAGAATGATTTCTGAAGATCATGTGACACTGAAGACTGGAGTAATGATGCTGAAAATACAGCTGCGCATCACAGAAATAAATTATATATTTTAAAGTATATTAAAATAGAAAACCATTATTTTAAATTGTAATATTTTACAATATTACAGTTTTTTTCTGTATTAATAAATGCAGCCTTGACGAGCAGAAGAGACTTATAATTGGAAGTCTTATAATTTATATAAAAATATTTTTTATATAAACAAAACATTTTTCTTATATATACATGCATGTGTGTGTATTTATATATACATAAGTATACACAGTACACACATATATTATGTAAACACATTTTTTATTTTTTTTGGGATGCGATTAATCGTTTGACAGCAATAATCATTTCATATTTTATGTTTTACTTTTAATGATTTTATTTTCAATCGTTTTTTAAAATCTTTTTATGTCTGATGGGAGGTCAGTAGTCAGTCCTTGAACTAAAATGTCTAAATAAAATGCAGTTAATAAGAACACCATTAAGTGTTAAACAACAAACAATATAATTGTATATAATTTGGATGTACAGCGTTATTTTCTTTTTTCGCTTTTGACCATTTTATACAGTCTATGCTTTTGACCCAGTAAGATACAGGAAAAAATATCCTAAATATTGAAGGAAAAGCTACATGGGCGATGTTGGCTTAATTTAGTTTTAGTGAATAATTAAGTTTTTATTATTTAATGTTGGCATTAGTAGAAAGATACAAATCGTTTCGTAAACTCTGTCCCTCGCCGGCTGCCGTACTGGACTACAACTCCGCCCCGGACTACATTCCCCATGAGTGACGCGCGCGTAGCGCCGCTAAACTCTCAGCAACACACAAACGAGACTAATAATCACAAACAACGGTAAGTACACACACAACACTTACTGTGATCTGACGTTTTTAAGATCAACTCGAGATCTTGTGATGTTTTATTGCGTGTGATCGCGTGTGTTTGGAGCGCAGACGGCGAGCAGCAGGTTAATGCTAACGCTAACAGCAGATAATCAGGAATAAACAACTGTGATTATAAACATACTTCTGCTCTATAGAAACTCCACACGACATTTATTACACATCTAGTTTATAAAGATGCTAAATTAATTTGAGACTATATATAATACGAATCTGAGACATAATATCTGCATATACATGAGTTTAGTGCTGCTGTTTTAGTGATTTCTGTTAAGGGTATTACGGAAATGTGTTAGCATTTTTGTTGTTACTTTTATTTAACGTGATGTTAAGTCACTTTCAGATTCTTTAGGCTGATCTGACGTTGTTAATGTAGATGTTAGACATTGACATTATGAATTAGAATTCATAGGAAACATTATATCGTTAGAATTGACAGGTGAATCTCAGATCTGTGTTCTTTTCTCTTCAGGATTTGGGAGGAAGATGAGGGTGAAGGAGATACTCAGGGCTGCGACACAGGCATGGAGTCCTGCGATGAAGCACCCCGCGTACCTGGCCTTAGGTAACTGTGCATGTGTGTGTGGGTGTGTGTGTGTTTTCACCTGTCAGCTTGTGTTTGTTTTATTCAAAGCGCATCCAGAATGCTGGAGTGATCTGGTCTTCTTCACTGTCTCTTGTCTGCAGGAACCGCAGCGCAGCAGCTGGATGCATCCTTCAACACCAGCGCCGCTCTGGAGATCTTTGAGATGGATTTCGCTGATTCATCCATGGACATGAAGCTCAGAGGAACTCTGCCCACTTCCAGCAGGTCAGTTATTCTCATACAGGTGAGGAAATTATATGTTATACAGTAAACCATTTAAAAGTTTGGGGATTTTATAATGTTTTTGAGTCTGCTCTGCTCACAAAGGCTGCATTTATTTGACCAAAAGTACTATAAAATTGTAAAATATTATTTAAATTTAAAACAGTGTTTTCTATGTGAATATCTGTTAAGATGTAATTTATTTCTGTGATACGCTGCTGCATTACTCCAGTCTTCAGTGTCACATGATCTTCAGAAATCAGTATAATATGCTGATTTGCTGCTCAAGAAACATTTCTGATTATTATCAGTGTTGAAAACAGTATTATTTTTGTGGAAACCGTGATGCATTTTATTTTTCAGGATTCACAGATGAATAGAAAGTTCAAAAGAACAGCATTTACTTGAAATCGAAAACGTTTGTAGCATTGTAGATTTATATTTATTCATTTAGCAGACGCTTTTATCTAAAGTGACTTACATTTGCGATTCATCATAAAGAGGCAAATAAACACAGGAAGTGCTCGTGATACAAAGTTTCAGACATTGTTCATTGGAAGTTCTATATGCATCCTTGATGAATTAAAGTATTAATCTTACTGAATCTTAAAAACTTTTTACATAAAATTAAACTGAAAATGCAAAACAACCTTCCATCCTAGCATTGTGGCCATGACTTTTGCACAGAAAAGCACGTCTCACATTTTCTTCAGAATATATAGTGTAGTCAGTGCGCTCATCTGAAGGTTTGAGGTATTTCTGATTGTCTGGATGATGACTGGGTGTGTTTGGATGTTTATTACGATCTCTCTCCACACTGAACTGTACAGAAAACATTCAAAAGCTTCCACTGAGTTTTGACATGAAGTGGTGGAGTTACAGCAGCAGTTTGTTGACGTCTCTTCCTTGAAGGTGAATGTAGTTTTATATTAATAGCATCTTCCCCCAGCGGCGATTGAATAGCAGAAAAACCCGGTTTAACGGCAGCTTTAGTTTAGAGAGGAGAACGAGTCAGACGTGTCGTCATCACCTCTGTGTGATCTAGTTTGTAGAGTATAAAAACCATTACGCCTATGGAATGTCATGTGTGTGTTTGTCAGGTTTCACAGTCTGATCTGGGTGGCGTTTGATATGGAGGTGAAGGGCTCGTCCGGTCGGCTCATCGGAGGCAGTGAGAGCGGAACCGTGAGCGTCTTCAGCCCCGACGCTATTCTCAGCGCGGGAGAGGACGCCGTGATCGGACAGTCCAACAAACACACGGGCCCCGTGCACACGCTCGACTACAACCGCTTCCAGGTAGAGCTCAGACTCTCGCTTCAGATCCGATCACATCCGCTGACGCTTTCACAAACACACGTGTGTGTTTCCTCCGCATCAGAGTAACATCATCGCCTCCGGAGCCAGCGATTCAGAAATATACATCTGGGACTTGAACAACTTCAGTAATCCAATGACGCCGGGCGCAAAGTCACAGGTAGGAATGTGTTTGTGTGGAACTTAGGCCTGGGCGATAAAACGGTATCGATATTTATCGAGAACACATGCTGAATTGAGTGCTGTGCCTGCCTGTGATGAGGATATTGTGAATAAAGAATGAATATTAGTCGAGTTTAAAATAAACATTTGAATGTTAGGAGTGCGTCAGGGAGCGCCATCAGTGGCGCGCGAGATGCGGTGATGAAGATGTAAGTGACGTTGTTGCATTTTAATGTTTTGTTAGCCTAGCCCACGAGACGCGCCGCTGCTGCGTTATTCATTCAAAATATTAGAGGAATATAGTAGCTGATCATAATTAAGTTAAACCCCGAAACCAAGCCATTCACACAGAATGCAAATTCAGCACATTTTTACACGGACAGATATGACTGCTGCACTCACGTCACACACAAGAGATGCAAAGAAAGTCATGCAAAGTTAAAACAGTTTAAACTTTTAGAAAACACGTCGCGAATTTGTGGAGGTTTATTCCTTTTCACTGCGTCTCATGTTTTTAAATGCAATCTTATGTATAAGCAATGCATAAATACATGATGCTGTTTTGTTCATAATTGTTCGAAATTTTATTTGATTTATATGAGTTAATTTAGACGTAATGCACGTTTTTTTATAGACAGTTATTTCCTTGTTTTGATAATTTAAATGCGCTTAATTATTTTGCTCATTGCGCCCTCCTGTGGCTTCGGGAGACAAGCCAAAAGTTTCCTTAAGACCTATTTAATCTGCATATAAAACATTAGAAATTAGATATTTAATTTTTATTTTGTGTTTGACTGTTAAAAAAAATATTTGTTGTTTGTCAATAAATTGGGTTAATTTAAAAACACAGTAGTTAAATTTTAACGTTTCTATTGCTCTGTTTTAAAAAAAGTTTATAAAAAATGTCAATAATTATCGATACCGAACGATATGAAACATTATATCTTTTTTTAGCTATATCGCCCAGCCCTAGTGGAACCTCTGTTCGATTACTCTCTGAAATGTTGTTGACTGCATCTGTCTCTGTTTCTTCAGCTCTGTGAGGTAAGAGCAAGGGCTCTGGTTCTTCTGAGGGTGTGTGGGGTTTGATTAACCTCTTCTCTAACATTCAGCTCACTGTGTTAATGGGTTAAAACCTAAAAACAGTTCTGAGACAGTTCATCTGCTAAGCAGAGTGTGTTTGGTTGTTTTGGACGGGATTTTGGTCAGTAATGAATTGCAGTAACTACACTGAATCTTCACCTGGTGGTTTGTGTGAAAGTCACAGATATTCTGGTGGTTTTATTCATGTGCTTATGCTTGTCACAAAAAATGTATATTTATTAATATTATAATGGGTGTCTAAATGGGTATAGATAGATATATGAGATTGTTAAATATTAATATAATAATATATATTAATATTATAATGAATGTCTAAATAGGCAGAGAGGTATATGAGGTTGTTAAATATTAATATATATATATTTTAATATTACAATGGATGGCTAAATGGGTATAGATAGATATATGATTCATTAAATATTAAAATATGTATATGTTAATATTATGATGGATGGCTAAATTGGTATAGATAGATATATATGAATTCACTGTATCAGGTGTCTAAATAGATATATGAGGTCATTAAATAGTAAAATGTATATATTAATATTGGGTCTCTAAATGGCTATAGATATGTATGAGGTCACTAAATATTAAAATATATATTTTAATATTATAATGGGGGGCTAAATAAATAGGTATAGATATATTTAGAGGTCACTAAATATTGAAATTAATATATTTTAATGTTGTAATAGGTGTCTAAATAGGTATATATAGATATATGAGGTCATTAAATATTAAAATATGTATATTTTAATATTGTAATGGATGGCTAAGTGAGTATAGAAATATATGAGGTCACTAAATATTTTAATATTACAATGGATGGCTAAATGGGTATAGATAGATATATGAGATTGTTAAATTAATATATATATATTTTAATATTATAAAGGATGGCTAAATGGGTATATATATACTGTATGAGGTCACAAAATATTAAAATTAATATATTT